TATTGTGCTGGACTTTTCTACGGGTTAAATAAACAAGGTGTTCATATAAAACCGGTTTACACTATACGTATTAGTTAGTACATCTACAGGAGTCTGTAAGCTGGTCAAAGAAAAAAGGTATGTATGATAACTATTGTTTATGGATTTTCTTTATACCCCCATCAAACTAGAGGCGAAATGAGCAAGAACGCAGTCGGAAAGACAATTATTTGTGTGTTCCTGGAAATTCGAACAACATTCTAAAAATTCCGAGTGCATTCCAAATATTTTTACCCATTCTTGTGACCGGCCCGAATGTTCAAAACTTTCGAAGTGCATTCCAAGTGGAAAATTATCGAATGGCACTTGAATAGTATTCTAACTGCACTATGACTGCATTCTAAATATTCTTAATAACGCTGTCAGAATGAAGTCAGTATATTTAGAATATTGTTGTAAAGCAAAAGACTTACACTTTCGATAATTGCAAAAACAATTAACACAGAATCAAATGTGTAGGAAGTTACTGAGTGCAAGTTAAATTTCTTTAAGTGTCAACAAGTGTAGAGATTGTTCTCGAAGTAAGAAAGGATGAACATTTCAAAGTCACATATAATTGGATCTGATTGGTTAATTTTTCTATAGATTTGCACGTTTCTAACACGTGTAAAACTCATGCAAACTCGAGATGGACAAGGTCCAAGCATGAGTAATTTGGAAAATAGTGTAAATATTTTAAATTAAAAACAGGTCTCACTGAAATTACTAAATTAGGAAATGTTGAATAGCGTTTTGTAATATGAGAAGGAAAAATTATTTGGGAAAATAGTGTATAAATACTTGTAGGTTCTGTGAAAAAGTGAATCGGTGAATAAACGGAATATCAATAATGCTGTCAGAATGCAGTCAGTATATTTAGAATAGACTTCGAATGGCGTACTAGTGTAGTTCGATTGCTGGCTGAATTAATATTTCAGCTCATTCGAGGCACATTCGAAACATTCTTTCGGGATTTTATAGGTCAATTTGAAACTTCTTCCCGAATGTAGTACGAATTTTTAAATTTAGTCATACTAGCTGGTTCTGCTTGATTCTTGTTGATTCCGAATAAGTGTGACGGGGGCTTAAAGGACACACATGTTTAGACTCTCTTCACAGCTTATTGTATTGCTCGGGTCCATGATCATACTTCCCCATTTTAGTAAGTGGTAATTAAGGATAATAGTTGTGAATGTTTGTACTATGAACCTTTAGTAATTTTGTAACGGGACCGGTGCAGTTGTTAGGCGTGTGCGCGAGGATAGTAAGAATGACACAACAGTCTAGGAGAGGTTTCCCTATTAATACACTTTATTACTTTAACCCTTTACATATACAGGGTCATCTAGCTCAGGTAGGCACAGCGCTACGGTAAGACAGTGACCCAATCGTTCCCTCGATCTAGGCTCTGATTGACCCGGCCGTCCTCAGTCCTCAGTCTCCCTCTCGTGCTCTCGGCGTTGCTGGTCACTCTGACGTCCCTGGGATCGGTCTAGCGTTAGCTTTTTGGTGTAGAAATCAGGACGCCCTTTTATACTGAATTTTGAGGGTGAGGTCACTGTTTACCGTGCCTGATAGTGACAGGATAATTCTCCTTATATAAACGGTTACTAGTTATACTGGTAACTTGGCCTTAAACTTCTATTCTATATTATGCATGTTGTTAAAGCAATACTTTCACCCGTAATTGATGATAAATAAACATAATACTGGGCACTTAATATAATATAATATATGTGCGGCCCTTCGAATGTATAATCTTATAAGGCTCGATGGTCACATTTGCATCTTCAGTTAAGGTAGCACCGTCCAACACCGACTTTCAAGATAGCTTAAGATTTCTCTGTACCTTTCAGAGTTTAAAGGATAATCACTTGGAATTGCCCTTGTAGAAAATCCGAGATAGAGATAGAGATGACAGCGGTGTGACTAACATATTCACAGGGAGCCAGGTGTGGCATTGGCCTATTACACAGAAGGTTTAATTACTAAATGTTACGTAAAGGCTCATCTTGCTACCAACTGCGTTACAATTTATTCGTTCTTTATTCTAGAGCCATTTTCTTATTACAATACCAGAAATCAAACAATTAAATTTTATTTGGAGAGATACTGCTAACACGTTTATATTTATCGCTAGTGAGTTTATTTGCTGTAAAAGCTGTAACTGATCTCATATTTAAATAAATTGAATTCTCTTATAAGCCTGATGTGAGAGAACAGTAGACGATTAAACTTTGTGATAAATAATTCGAGTTATTGTACCACCAGCGTATGCGCTGGCGGTACACATGGTTTTAGTCCCGTCCGGTCCGTTCCGCCGCCATGTTACCGTTACCGCTTCTTCTCCTAGACTACAAGGGTCTGCGTACCCATCTCTTGGATTTAGGTCGCAAACAATCTCAACTCCATGTAAAATTTGGGCATGGTCGGTGCTGGGGTCTAGGTGTGGCGCTCATTGCAATGCACCCTTGTCCAAAATTTGCAAAATTAAATGCTAATTATCTACCATACCGAAGGAATTATGGGAAAAAATTCTACAGACGGCTGACCGAAAGTCATATGTGGAGATTTCAAATATGCCCTTGGATTATAACCTTTGACCTTCATTTCAAGGTCAAACGGGCCAAAATTTTCAAAAAAAAAAAAAAAAAAAAAAAAAAATTACCAAAAAAAAAAAAAAAAAAAATATTTGCGCTGATATTCAGAAACTACACAGACCTTACCTATAATATTATTGGAATGTGTTGCCCTTTAGGTCATCTTTCATCTCCGTGAGTTTGGGGTCAATCGGTGCATTTTCACGGGAGTAGCGGCCAAAAGATACCGAAAGTAAAAACTGTCTCCAATTCGGGAACCGTTAATGCCTTTTCTTTTTTGCATTTTGTACAGCATGTCAAGCCCAACACTGGAGGTGGTCTCCGTTTTTTTTTTTTTTTTTATTTCCATACGGTTTACGAGTTATACTGTAACAAAAAGTACATTGTGGTGGTGAAAGCAAAATCTGCAATACGGTAATATGTAATAAATTTTGAACCTCTGGAAAATATAACACAAGGCTTGGCGAGGCAGACAACTTCTGGTCAAAAATGACATTATTTCATGGAATTTTAACATCTGGAACTTCTGAGCACCTCCCATTTCAAGACTTTCAACCAAAATGACATTTTCTTTATTTCAATTAATATCTTTTGTAGAAAATTTATGGCACATTACAGGGGCGTAACCAGACCTTTAAAAATTGAACGCACAGATTTTTAAAATTCCCAGCAAAATGTAGACTAACGCAAGAGATAAGGGCAGCGTAATTACAGCATATGTCATTTAGTCAGAAATGTACTTGCAATTAAAAAAGTTTCAATATTCTTATTACCCAGAACGGTATATTTATTTAAAAGGAGGCTAGCTTCGCATATGTGGAACCCCCTTCAAATAATCCTGGATCCACCTCTGAGTTGAACTAACATACGGTTTCATTCACCTTACATGTGGATGCATGGCTCCCAAAAACAACCAATTTTACGACACGACAGAGCTTTGATATATCTAAGTTTAATTATTTGTTTGTGAAAATTGCCCCTGTCACCCTGTTAGTTTGGAGGGGTAAGCTGGATCAAGTCCGTGTCAAAATTCTTTGAAGCTTTGCAGGAAAAATTCTTCCTTTGTTTCTCTAGCTCCTTCTTAAACCTGGTGTCCAGATTTTATCTAGTGCCCCCAGGGTTGCGGGAGCTGCTCTTTGAAAATAACACTCTGACAGATTTTTACCTGAAATAGATATCGCCAGATATTCTCAAGAAAGAAGGTACAGAAGAGTTGNCGAATAATCCTGGATCTACCTCTGAGTTGAACTAACATACGGTTTCATTCACCTTACATGTGGATGCATGGCTCCCAAAAACAACTAATTGCACGACACGACAGAGCTCTGATACATCTAAGTTTAATTATTTGTTTGTACAAATTGCCCATGACACCCTGTTAGTTTGGAGGGGTAAGCTGGGTCAAGTCCGTGTCAAAATTCTTTGAAGCTTTGCAGGAAAAATTCTTCCTTTGTTTCTCTAGCTCCTTCTTAAACCTGGTGTCCAGATTTTATCTAGTGCCCCCAGGGTTGCAGGAGCTGCTCTTTTAAAATAACACTCGGGCAGATTTTTACCTGAGATAAATATCGCCAGATATTCTTAAGAAAGAGGGTACAGAAGAGTTGAGGGCCACTGAACCCTCCAATTAAGAGGTAAAGGAAGTTTCAGTTAGATGGACGATTAAGATAGGACTTGTTAAGGTTACAGGCATTGTTAACCTCATTTTGCAAGGCGGGAGGGGGGTCAGAACAATTGTGCTTATACAATTGATACAGATGATTTGTACATACAGGTGACTTTAATAAGCAGAGGATTTTCTTTTATATTCCGTGAAAAATACACTAAATTTCTATAAAACAATATCATGGTTGGCCAAAAAATTGTACGCACAGTGCATCCGTGCGTATGCCTAGTTACGCCCATGCATAATTGATTTAAAGACCGGGGATATCCATGCTTAATACGTACCCTGCTTTGACACTAATATCCTCTTCCAGGACTGGAGTTTTTATTATGTGAACATTTCACCTGGGCAGTCAATGTATAATAACTATGAATTTAACCAGAGACATATCTGTGAATATACCCAGTGAAAAAAAACAATCTGTGGCCCTGGTAGAAGATAACACTGAACTCTTTGATGTATTAATTAAATAACATTGTGTCACAATCATATTAATAAAAACAGCTAATTTAAACATATAAGAGCACTAATTATAATTTAAAAAGAAAGTGAATACACCTGTTTGATTAAAAATAAAAAGTTTTTCATGGTATGATTGACATATGGGCTTTAAATTGAACGCATATTATGTAGACTATATGTAAGTACATGATATAGTCTGTGCTTTTGATTATTATTAAGCTTTGTTCATTTATTTTCACAATATTTATTTCAGATAATACAACAAAAAGAGCTAGTGTTGCATTGTGTGTAGATTCATTGAAAATTCCAACAGCTATAAAAAAAGGAAAAATTGATAAAGGTAGTTCGGGTGAAGTGAATGATACTGCACCAAGTGGGATGGCGTTTCGCAGTTTTTTACCGAACACTGGGTCCTTTTTCTTGGCTACTGCTGAGCATTTCTTTCAGGCATCAGCAGCTAATAAGCTTTGCAGGTAAGATGAAGTGTTTTGCATGTGAAATATGTGACAAACGGCATTTACAAATTGCAGAAATCTTTCATTTTTGATATTAAAATACATGTATTACCTCGTTGTTTGTTTATATTAAATATTTCTTTGGTTTTATTCAGTTTGATTCTCTGTCTAATTAGAATATTCGTCATTCATAGGAAAGTTTTAAGAAGCAAAGATGCTATAGAAGCAGAGCAGAAAAGACAACAAAATACAAACAAATATATTATTCATCCTTTTAGTAAGTTCAGGTAGGTTCTTTTAAGTGGTCAAACTACAAAATGTCAGTCATTTCAGAAAAGGATATCTTACTTTTTTTTTTGATTGGACATGATTTGGGAAATAATATGATGGTATATTATTATACAGTACATATAATTATGTTATTATACTGTGTGAAAAGTACTGAATTGAGGTTAAAGCTCTCTCTCCTTTCTTTCTCATTTTGCCTAGTATACTATCTTTATGGGTGTCCTCAAGCTGAAATTGGAAGTGTCTGATACATTTTTAATTCTTAAAAAAATTACTTATTTACATGTGATACCACTTTCATTTCAATTTGTGATAAAGTAATGTAAAGTAGTAGTTTGTAAAAAAAAAAAAAAATTATGAATATTAGTTGTACTTCTTGTACTGCTGTTATATGGTAATGCTATTATTATTATTATATACGTAGCACCTTGTTTTCTAAATTCAGATGGTTTTGGGACCTTTTCATGGTGGCAGTATTATCTGTGACATTGATAATCCTGCCTGTCAACATTGCCTTCTTCCCAAATGATCCAGACTCACACTGGGAAGGCATGAACATTGCAGTAGATGTCATCTTTTTTATAGATATAATTCTCAACTTCCGTACTGGATATATCAGAAGTGAAACAGAAGAGGTAAAATCAGAGCTGTAATAGATTTGGTGGATGGGTCTGTTAGCCTTCCAAATGTTAATATTTTTGTAGAATATATACAGGTATTTGAAAGTAGTAAATCAATTAAAATAAAAAATGAAAGATGAATATAGACTAAAATGAAACTTTATCTTGTCCTATTTGATATTGATCTGGTGACAGTTGTTTATTTTAATTGCTAAAACAAACAAATAAAAATAAAATAAAAATAAATAAAGATTATGTGAAAGATACAAATGGACATTTTTTTACTTAGGTCATATTGAGCAGTAAGAAAATTACAATTAACTACCTGAAAACCTGGTTCTTCCTAGATTTCATTTCTACAGTTCCATTTGATTATTTTTTCCTTGCTTCAACTGGGACAGCATCCAGAGCTTTAAATGCACTCAGGATGCTGAGGTGAGATGAAAATCTGCTTGATTGTCAGGAACTTTATTTTGATCAATATTGCTGTAAAAGATTTTTTTAACCTAAAAAAAGTACTTAAATTCCAACATGCATTTCTCAGTTAAAGGTTACACAAGAAGTGTATTTATTTATTTCTTTGTTTATTTAATGTAAGTTCTAATTTGGAATATTTCACCATTTGAAATTTTTATGTAAAGTTTTACATTTAAATGGTGCATATTGTGTTATACTTTGAATTTATATTAACTTGAAAAAACTAAACTATGAAATAAGATTTCAAATCACTAAAATACTTACATGTGAAATAACTCTATGTTTTTAGGTTGACAAAACTTCTCAGCTTGCTACGGGTATTCAGAATGGCCAGGTTCCTCAGGTATATTAACAGGCTAGAGGAGGTATGCACTAGTTTACTTTGATCTTTATTATGGAGAGTGATGTACGTGGTAGTAGTTACATGTAAGTGAAACTCCTTCCGTTTTATCCACAATGTTTCCCTTTTTTTTTATCAAGACTATTTTGTTTTTTTTTTTGAGAAAGCCCAAACTGTGCATAATACTGGGGTGTTTAGAAGAGTGCACAAAGTAACAATTTTCAGTTCAAGACTGTGTGATGGTATTAATTAAATAATGTGACTTTTACAAGTCCAGTGATTATTTTGTAGATTGTGCATTGTTTTTTTCACAGCTCTTAGATATACCTGGCAGTGTCCTCCGCATTATCAATCTTGTCATCATGATTCTCCTGTTGTCCCACTGGAATGGCTGTGTACAGTACTTAGTTGCGTTTATTGAAGACTTTCCGGAGAACTCCTGGGTAGTCAGGAATGGATTGCTGGTGAGTACAGTAGTTATTATTGAAAATGTGTCAATAAGTGAACAATATTTTTACAAGCTATTTACTTTAAGGTAGATTTTTCTATGATTTCTTATATTTTACGTATGTCATTTCTTTAGCACATAATTCTTACATTCTAGGTAGGAGAATTGCCAAGCGCTAAATTTCATCTTTTTTGAAAATAATTTATAATAGTTCAGAATAAGCATTTTATTTATGTTCACGTGATATTATCCCACAGACTTTTCTTTATATNATGCGCGGGCAGGATGTCATCCATAAAATTAAAAAAGTGTGGCCTAAGTTCTAATTTGGAATATTTCACCATTTGAAATTTTTTTGTAAAGTTTTACATTAAAAATGTGCATGTTGTGTTATACTTTGAATTTATATTAACTTGAAAAAACTAAACTATGAAATAAGATTTCAAATCACTAAAATACTTACATGTGAAATAACTCTATGTTTTTAGGTTGACAAAACTTCTCAGCTTGCTACGGGTATTCAGAATGGCCAGGTTCCTCAGGTATATTAACAGGCTAGAGGAGGTATGCACTAGTTTACTTTGATCTTTATTATGGAGAGTGATGTACGTGGTAGTAGTTACATGTAAGTGAAACTCCTTCCCTGTTTTATCCACAATGTTTCCCATTTTTTTTTATCAAGACTATTTTTTTTTTTTGAGAAAGCCCAAACTGTGCATAATACTGGGGTGTTTAGAAGAGTGCACAAAGTAACAATTTTCAGTTCAAGACTGTGTGATGGTATTAATTAAATAATGTGACTTTTACAAGTCCAGTGATTATTTTGTAGATTGTGCATTGTCTTTTTCACAGCTCTTAGATATACCTGGCAGTGTTCTCCGCATTATCAATCTTGTCATCATGATTCTCCTGTTGTCCCACTGGAATGGCTGTGTACAGTACTTAGTTGCGTTTATTGAAGACTTTCCGGAGAACTCCTGGGTAGTCAGGAATGGATTGCTGGTGAGTACAGTAGTTATTATTGAAAATGTGTCAATAAGTGAACAATATTTTTACAAGCTATTTACTTTAAGGTAGATTTTTCTATGATTTCTTATATTTTACGTATGTCATTTCTTTAGCACATAATTCTTACATTCTAGGTAGGAGAATTGCCAAGCGCTAAATTTCATCATTTTTTGAAAATAATTTATAATAGTTCAGAATAAGCATTTTATTTAATGTTCACATCATTATCCCACAGACTTTTCTTTATATTTGGATTATTCTTGTGTATAGTACTGTGTATAGTGACGGTGCAGAAAATGAAGCTCTTTCTGTGTGTGGCAGCCTTGCTCAAAGATATTGTTGACAACACTATTTTTTCCTTTAATTTTGTAGCATGCCCCTGTGACTGACAAGTACATTTTGTCTGTGTTTCGTGCAATGTCCCACATGTTGAGTATAGGGTACGGCCGGGCACCTCCACTTAACAACACAGAAGTATTACTGGTCATGATCAGCATGTTATTGGGAGCAACATTTTATGCACTGTTCATTGGGCACACCTCCTCCTTGCTTCTGATGATTGATACCTCTGGGAGAGCCTATAATGAAAAGGTAATTGCTTCATTCTTCTTTCCCTAGTTTTTTTTTCTTTTGTAGGCGCCTGAAACTACTTGGTTTGATAAGTACTTAATGTGCCTCTTCAGAGCCGTATCTCACATGATTACAATTGGCTATGGACGGTTTCCCCCTATCTCCAACACTGACATCATTGTCATCATGTTCAGCATGATCGTGGGTGCGATTTGTTATGCTCTCTTTGTAGCTTACTGCTCTTACCTGCTGCTGACTTCTGATGCATCAGGCAGGCTATATGTTGAAAAGGTACATTAGTTCTTCTCTCTCTTTTTTAGGTTTTAAAATTTTTTTTTTTTTTGTATTTGTAAGGTGCTCAATTTCCAGTACTCCCTGTTTAAAAAGCCATTTATCTAATAATTATCTGACAGCAAAATAATGAATGAATGAGGTGTAAAATGTAACCAGTATAATCATTATATAAGGACTTACTTAATTTGTCAGATTTGAAGTCAAATCTTTGTTATATATCTTAAAATAGTATTCATTATTTATCTTCTATGTAGTACCAATACTTGTGCCTCTTTATTTATAGACAAATCAAGCTAAAGAATATATGCGATACCGGAGAATCCCAATTAAAACTCAAAGGAGGGTGATTGCTTATTATGAGCACAAGTATCAGCGCAAGTACTTTGATGAAGATGGCATCATAGGAGAAGGGAACATTTCTCCTGCTATCAGACAGGTAGGATGAGGTGAAAATTATGATACCGAATAGTGAATGCACCCATGGCATGGTCTTTCCTTAAGTTAGCAGTAGCGTATCTTATAACAAAGCGCTTGGTCTCCACTGAAAATATAATCTGAGTTTTCTTAAACCACTGAAAAAGATGATGATCAAAATTTTTTGGAGAGCTTTTTTTTTCCACTTGCAAAAAACATAGTAGTTTTATTTTCAAAAACACTGACACTTATTGGCAACAACAGTACGCATCATCCCTCTAAATAGTAAGATAGCAATGATCTTATCGCTTTGCAGGAAATCTTGGTACACAACTGTAAAGATTTGGTGGCCAAGGTGCCTTTCCTGGCCCAGAGTCCACCAGACTTCATGTACGATATCATCAGCAAGCTGAAATTTGAGGTGTTCCTGCCTGGGGATACGATTATTCAAGCAGGTGCTTTGATAGTTTATTATTTTGTTCGTTAATAAAACTACAGATAGATTGCTAGGTAACAGGTAGTACAAATTACGGTGAACTAAACTGCTCCATACTTTATCAGAATTCCTGTCGCTGGTCAGCCTTGTTGCTGTGGCATCACGTTAAATAATCTCTCATAAAAAACATGATTTTGGTTGGGAATTGGAATTGTGAATTCTTCGATAGCACATATTAGTAGAGTGTTCACTGTGTTCTAGGCAGGCGAGGGGATGGTATGTTCTTCATAGAGCACGGCAGGGTGGACGTGAAGCTGATGAATGCTGGGGTGGAACTGGTGGTTAGCAGTCTGGGAGATGGAGCATACTTTGGTGGTGAGTCAGGCTTTGCTGAAAGGGTCACTGCACTGGCTGTTTGTTCAGGATTTTGATGGGAGAGAGGGAGATAGGCCTTATTTATTATTGTTTTCCATTGCTAAGCACTGCATGCAGAAACAATTTCATGGAAACTACATTGTGTGTGTTTGTTGGAGGGGAGGGGGGGGATAGCTGCAGTTAAAAATTCACCAATAGTGATTGTATTTAAAAATTTGTCTGACAAAGGACTTAATGATGTAGTTAATGATCCATACTCATGTGTGCAATATTTGATTTTTCCTCCTCATTTTCAGAGGTATCTCTTATCCTTGACGAAAGAAGAGTTGCTACCATTGTGGCTGCTGAGATTTGTGATGTTTTCTTTCTGTCTAAAGCTGATTTTGAAAACATCCTTGCTGAATATCCAGCTATGTCAAACATTATGAAGAAGGTTGCAGAGGAGAGACTACAGCAAACCACACAGGCCCTAGGAAGTGCTTGGGAGTAAGTGGAATTCTGTGAGAACTGTGTACATAATACCTTACCATATGTTATGTGCATATGTTACCATTTTGCCAACTTCTCCCCCTAAAATACTGCCACCACATTTACCCAAGCCTACTTCTCACGGCTAACACACACACATCCATATATACCTTCCTATCAACTTGAATGGGCTTACTCCCGCTGGTGGTACAACACCAGGAGATGCTATTGACTCTTCAATCCTGTAGTTATGATAAATGTCACATTTGACTGGCTATTGGAGACAATATCATACAAATTTGCATTGTTACAGTAGATAGATTTACATTATTTATTTATTTATTTATTTATTTATTTATTTATTTATTCACTTTTAATCATTTATTTTATAGAAATGAGGAGACAGACCCCAGTATAATTCCAGAGGTCAGTATGAGATCGCAGTCAGCCCGTCTTAAAGATTTTGATGACCAGAGTGAGGGCACAGTGGAGGAGAGTGAACCCTCCCAACCAGATGAGGCTATTGTGGAGGACGAGACTAACAAAAAAGAGAAAAAAGTTTTACCTCCATTGAGAACTGAGAGAAACAAGAGTGGCAAAATTTTGACAAATATAGATGTTTGATGTTGTTGACACACATTGTTGTTCACAGGTTGTCTTGCTTTTCTTTTCATGCCATAAGAAATGAATAGTTTGCTCCTTGGCCTGCATAAGTTTATGGAGCATTTTTTTTTGTCATGTAGAGTTTTTACCTGCATCGGAAAAAACCTACTTCATGGCTCTATAAGTAGCATTGTAAAGAATAGCAGTCATTTGTATACTTTCAATGCATATGTGTTTTCATTTAGAATATATTTCTGAGAGCATTATGTATATTAGTGCCACGTAAGTGCCATTGCTAATTTATCGCCAGGTTCACGGCCACTTGTGTATGTATCAATTAATGTTAAAGATTCTTGTTTATTTAAGGTGTTTAATGATTCTCATGAGTAAGACAGTTGTGTGTAAAAGTATTTATAGTATTATTAATGTTGTTAAAGTAGAGATTTTTTAGGAAGGAAGGAAGGCCCTGTTTGTGATACACAATTGTAAATGAATAGTTTGCTCCTTGGGCTGTATAAGTTTATGGAGCATTTTTTGTCATTTTGAGATTTTATTAGCGTCGGAAAAAAACAGTTTACTACTTCATGGCGCAACACGTAGCATTGTAAAAATTTGTCAGCATGCAATGGCATTAATGTTTTCATTCAGAATATTCTTCTAAGAGCATTATGTATATTAGTGCCACGTAAGTGCCATTGCTAATTTATCGCCAGGTTGACGGCCACTTGTGTATGTATCAAGTGATAGTAAAGATGCTTGTTTGTTTAAGGCGTTTAATAATTTTCATAAGTAAGGAAGTTGTGTGTAAAAGAATTTATAGTATTATTAATGTTGTTAAAGTAGAGATAGTTTTAGGGAGGAAGGCCCTATTTGCGATACGCAGTTGTAAATTGATAATTCTGGGCCAGTATTATATTGAAACATACTGTGCATCTGTGATCGTTTGAAGAATGCTGTTTTATTACCTCCGCCAAGGAGGTTATGTTTTCACCCCTGTTTGTCTGTCTGTTTGTTTGTTTGTTTGTCATCAACATAACTCAAAAGGATATGGACCGATGTTGATAAAATTTTCAGGGCAGGTCGGAAATGGGTTAACTTAGAAGTGATTAGTTTTTGGTGGTGATCCGGATCAATAATCAAACAATCAATAATAATCAAAAATCGCTGCCTTGGCGGAGGTCTGCGCTCTCGGAGTGCTTTTCTAGTTCACTGATAAGACTTTTCCCCGACTTTTTCAGGGTCATTTTGGGTCATTCTTGTGAATCGTGTACCCTGGACCCCTGACCAATTTCCCTTCTTTTTCAATGAGGACTGGTCTCATTCCTGTTTATTTTTCCAGTCATCGCCATAATATTGTTAATATTATTATAATTTGTATTTTACATCTCACTCACAAATAGCTAATAATGTTTAAGTAAAACGAGTGTAAATATTAAATGTTGTGTTTCTACTAGCAAGACGTAGTGAGGTGTAGTGTCACAGACTATTTGAACGTCTTAGGGAGCATTCCCATAAATCTGTCGTACTAGCAGGATCGATCTATATCCGAGGGATTTCTCGCTAAAGTGCATTCAGTTTTTAAACTTAAAAGCTTGCACGATAATTAATTACCCCCAGCAGCTTTAGTAGGCGTGAAAGATATTTAAGTCGCTTAAACTGAATGTAATTTAGCGAGAATCCGCACGGAGTTAGATCGATCATGCTAGTACAATAGGTTTATAGGAACCAAGTCTTAGGCTTAGCGAGATATGTTGATGCATGAAATTCTGGAATCCCTGATTTCATCATCTGGGCGCCAGTCACCAGGCAGTCAAGGGACTGTCATCAGTGAAGTAGAGCCCCGAGAACTGTTGCAGCGTGCGTCGCCCTCTCATCATTCGTGGAATGAGTCGAAATTAACTCGCGCGGAAATAAGTGCAAAGATCCAAGTTGTGCCGCGAACTGTAACCGTCACGGCGTCGTTTCTGGCTAATTCAAAACGCAACAACTGGCAGATTGAGATAACCACATAATTTCCTGCACCTTTGCAAAACAAATGCAAATACATTTTCACATTGTAGAAGAATCACTTTACTTACAATTGATAAATGTTTCGGTAATTAAAACTGGAAGTAAGTATCATTAGAAAATGATTCACGGGTATGGTGCTGGAAAAAAGGCAAGTGATAATAATGAAAAGAGAAAGGAAACCACAAGTGATCTCTTTACACGTAGATCTAAGATTAATATAAATTAATTTAATTTAAAAGGAATTGGCGCTCTTCACCATTTATACACTGTTCTTGTTCTATACACATCTTCGTTGCGTATAAGACCTCGAGACCTCTCGCTTTGTCACAGATCTTTTATAACCACGTTCATAGTCAGTTTGGACAAAGTTATGACTGGCTATTTTGCCTTTCTTTTTTGGATAAGAAACGCATTACTGACATGCGCCGGGTGTCACTGTCACTTGCACTTTCGCCACAATGTTAGGCAATTTCATTTCAACCGAGTTCCATCGTAGAATCGAGTTCTCGAACCTGCTGAGAGAGACAGAGATCCTTGTGCTGCTTAACTTGTGCTCGTGGTGAGTACCTGAACTACAGCTTTGATTATTACTTATTTTGTAACTACTCTGTATTGGAAAACCTTTGGCAGATTTTTAAATCTTATGCCCGTTTTATGTAACAGCTAATAACTTTTAAATATTTTTGGGGAATGAATAGATAGGCCACTTTCCCATAGAACAGTTCATTTATCTAAGCATGCACGGAGTCTCTTAAACTCACAAACGTATTTATTTGAACTAGTACAGAAACGGTCTCTCTCTTTCTCTTTTTTTTTCTCTCTCTCTCACACGCACACACACAAACACTTAGTTTTAAATAGATAAATAAAAACTGATTTGTATCTCTGAAAGCACTGAAGTACACTGAATTATACGTACAGTAGAAATAAAGGCACTACAATGTGAAACTGTGCACAAAATGGCATGCTTGGTAAACAATCACTTTTAATTCTCTCTCTCTCTCTCTCTCTCTCTCTCTCACACACACACACACACACACACACACA